TTGGACGACTCCTTCTGCATCTTCATCCTCGAAGGACAAAGTCCCCATGGGTGCATAATCTTGAGTCCGAGATTGCTTTTCCCTCACAATCGATGTTTTAGTGCGTTTAAGCACCGGTCTCTGAGGGGTATCGACGCCGCCAATGATCATGTGAATGATGTGCTGCGGTTCTTCTTGCTCATTTTGCTTGTCGAAATCCCTGTTTTTAAAATGGTTCTTCGCTCTATCACTCAGAAATTCTCGAAGGTGCCCTTTGTTAAATAAGCGGGCAACTTCCTCTCTTAGTTGCCTGCAATCTTCCGTTCTGTGGTCATAGGTGCCATGATATTCACACATTTGATTGGGATTCTTTTGGGCAGGATCGGTTTGCATGGGTCGAGGCCATTTAGTGTCTTTGATGCATCTGATAGCCGACACGATGGCGGATGCACCAACGCTGAAGTTATATTCTGATAATCGAGGTGCTTCTATAGGATCGACATATTTATCAAAGCCTCTCTTGCTCATAAGTCCCCGAGAAATTTTCCCTCGATCAATCCTTCGATTGTTCCGAACTGTATTGCGTGATGAACCGTTGTTCATCCGATCTGCGACGTACGGTTGATATCGGTCTCTGTTTGACCTTTGTTCTCTATCGATCTCCCTTTGGTTTTTAGTAGCTGTCCTGTTCTGATGCACGGGTCCATACGGGGCTCCCAACTGATCATCCTCGACCCAAATCTTCGATTGATATCGGTTGTGTATATCTGCCCAAGTTATTGCTGGATACTCGATCAAATTTTGTTTCAGCCGACGTGATGCTGTCAAACTTAGCTCCTTCAACCCTTGGGTGAAGGCTTGTATGGCCCAATCGTCTGTGACCGGTGGCAATTCCATGCGTTCCTTTTGAAATCGGGATACGAATTCCCTCAGCGTTTCATTACCCCTTTGCTTTACTTTGAAGAGGTCTGACTTCCTTGTTGCAACCTTTATGGCACCAGCATGTGCCTTTACGAACGAATCTGCTAACATGGCAAAAGAATCGATGGAATTTGGTGGTAAATTGTAATACCATATCATTGCTCCCTTCGAGAGGGTCTCCCCAAACTTTTTCAACAACACGGATTCGATCTCATCGTCCTCCAAATCGTTACCTTTGATGGCACATATGTAAGAGGTGACATGTTCGTTAGGATCGGTCGTACCGTTATATTTGGGAATTTCGGGCATACAGAATGTTTTGGGGATTAGTTTTGGTGCCGCACTCGAGGGAAAAGCCTTTTGTATGAATTTTTTCGAATCAAGCCCTTTTATCAGTGGAGCCCCCAGGATTTGATCGACCATGGCATTGTATGTTTCCACTCTCTTGTCATTGGCTTCGACTCGTTTTGTGAGTTCCTCGAGCAATTTAGTAATTTCGGGAGTGGTCCCAGATTCTTGCTCGTTTGATTTCACTATGGCGGGCTCCGTTCTGGAGGTGATTTCTCAAAGCGGATTGGAATCCGGCCTGCTTTGTATATGAGTTTGGCTCTGTAACCTAGCTATCGCAACTTGTTGGGTTTGTAGCATCTCGAAGATCATACGCAAGCTGGCCCCGATTTCCCCCGCGTTATGGGTGTCTCGGGCTACGGATCGAGTACCGCCCTGAATGCTTCTTTCCGGTTCATAACGCTGATTCGCCTCCAGAGGTATTTGTGAATTGACATCTAATGGTACTTCGGCTCGAATTTGGGTACTTCGATTCGAGCCTAAGTGCCATCGTCAACTGGCCTTCCGGCCCCGGGTGACAAGTTGTTGGTTTCATCTTGAAGGCCGACTTCGTGGTCGATAGGTAAAGCCATTGCTGATTTGAGTTTGTAGGTTGGTGTGTACTGTAGATTTATACCAAACAATCACTGTTATCCTTATCCCCACGGTGGGCGCCAAACTGTTTACCCGAAAAATTGGATAATGTTAAATTTATGTATGGTTTTAAGGATACGTAATACCCTTTGATATAAAGATAACAATACAAGTATTTTGATTATGAGAATGACAATGATGAACAGAAAGAATGAATAAGATCCAGTAAAACAAGCACAATGAGATATCTTTGTATATGAGAAAAGATCTTTTTGTTCCAATCTATACCGTATATTCAGTGTGTCCATAGCTTACAAGGATTCCCCCTTTTATAGTAGAGGGTCATTACAAAAAATAATAAAATAAAGCATATAGTGGAGGACCCATGATGATTTGTCTCTTCCTCGATTCCCGCCAAGATTCTCTCTCTTGGTGCGGTTGCAACGACTCTTGTCTGTGAGCTCGATACT